CAAGACGATGACATTACCTGTTGTCTTGGGGGTTTTGGGAATTACCATATTTGACTCCGTATAAGACACAAGGGCATTCAAGACACACCCCAATTTCAGCAAGGAAACTCAAGAAAAAATCATAATTAGTAAAATTATTAGTAAATGGTACAGCCTAGGCTATATTTATAAGGTATTATTTTGGTTAAACAAGCCATGATTACAATTAAACAAAAAATAATAGGAAAAAAAGAACACTAGCCTATAAAAACTTTATTATATCCAAAGGTAAGAAAACAAAATAAAAATCAAGCAAATTGAGCAAAATAGTACAATTACCATTAAAATTTTATTCATCTTCAAATCCATAAAATTCGTCATCTTCATTATCAAAACTCTGATATTCATTTTCAATACTACTATCATCATTGTTAAATAATGCGTCATCTTCCATTCCATTGAGAGCATTGCTAATACAACACTTTTTAAAAGATTTCACAAGAATTTCTTTTCTAATATTATCACAAGCTTGCTTCACCCATTTTCAGATTTGTGCAATGTTGGGTCTTTTTATTCTTCCTGTAAGTGTGAGGTCGTGATCAGGCATTGCCATCCACGTGTTCCATTGTTCCTTCATGTTTAAGTCTAAGCTAATAGGAGTTGCCAAGTAGCTAATTTCGGCTGACTATCACGAATTTTAAACCTACATATGCCATATAAGAAACAGGGGAATTTTAAAAGATATTTTTAGTAAAAAGTGCACATTATATGCCATCAAATATGGTATATTAAAAGGAGCAAACAAATATGTGGATCCATAAAATATATAAATTGCAAAAAATCATACTCATGGGTACTTCCTATATGTTAATTAAATTTTCCTGATTGTATGGTACCTCATTTATTTGTATCTCCTGATACAATGACTTGTTATTTCTTGAAGTCTATGGTTAAGACTTAAAGACAACACGTACGAGGCAGAGGCAAAACACAATAATAATCAGTTGTTCCTTCCAAGTTTCAAAAAGGATCTTCCTAAAGTAAAGAACATATATCTACCAATCGTAATGTAGATATTTATTGTATATGTAAATGAAATTCTTAGCTAGAAATTTTGATTAACATGTGGGGGTTTAAAATATAACAGGAGAAAGGAGGATAAATTTTAAAACTAATCACTCAAATACCTTATTCTAGCTATATTCTTAAGTTTATCACCATTATCTTTGTTGTTTTTTGCAAGAACTTGAGACAAGGAAGATCAGTAAAATTCTCATCAGCTACACCAAAACATTGTTTTCACTGCCTTCATCAACATGTATGAATTGCTTGAGGTAATAAAAATGTCAGATTATAAATAAATCCATTAATTCTTTAGAAAATGCTTTGTCTATGTTTTGACCTGGAAACTGAGCAGATATTAACACTCAAGAAAAATAATGAGAGTGAACAGGATGGGTTTTCCTTAAGAAAGGAAATTAGAGCCTGGCTTACTGTTCAGTCCTTCATGGCTAAGTGGCGGTTTGATCCCTGCCAAAGGATATATTGCTTTTAATGATTTCTCAAGCGCCCACACCACTAGACACATAATACACAATATTTAATAAATAAAAATGGGGCGTCTTTTTTTAAATTAGAAGTGTTCACTATAATAATGTGTGAATTAATGAACTGTCTTGAATTTCAATCTATTTAGTTTATTTTTTTGCAGTGAGGTTCACACTGTACAAGGCCTGGGAGCCACTCGAGGTAGAGGGTTACATTAAAGGGTAGTTTATATGGATAGGAAGGGTAAGATAATGGTTGACACTAGACTTGAACAGATAAGATTGTAATGATCAGCGAAACGTCCTCTTGGATGTCTGTTCTACAGGACAGTAGTTTACAGGAAGAAGCTGTTTGGGTGAAACTTACTTCTCATCAATGGAATACAAAGAAAATGTGGGTGGTTTGCTATGACATAATGGCAGGTTACTTGCAAGGACCTGCCATTATCTGTCTATATCTCTGAGATGAGGTATTTTGATTACTTGCATTATTTACATTATTCAAACTGTTATCCTCATCTTCATTGCCATATTCACAGTTTTTCGGCCATTGTACGCTTCGGCCATTATGTCTATGTCTCTCTATATATCTGTCTATATCTCTGAGATGAAGTATTATGATTACTTGCATTATTTACATTATTCGGACTGTTATCCACATCTTCATTGCCATATTCACAATGTTTCAGCTGTTGTATGCTCCGGCCATTATGTCTATGTCTCTCTATATATCTGTTTATATCTCTGAGATGAGGTATTATGATTACTTGCATTATTTACATTATTTGGATGGTTATCCTTAAGAAGATGAGGATAACAGTCTGAGTAATGTAAATAATGCAAATAATCATAATACCTCATCTCAGAGATATAGACAGGTAATGGCAGGTTGTTGCTGTGAAGGTTAGAACTAACGGAATATAGCTTGGCCAAACACTTTCTGTGAAAGTAGCAATAGTGTAGTGAGAGGCTCGCTACATCCTACCGGTGAGAGAGAGAGAGAGGTTGAAGGTGGAAAATAATTTGTCATGACATTATTAAGGCTGGATAATGCAATCTGGGCAGTTCTTACATAAATATGATAACAGCACTCCATTTTTGGCCTGATCTGGCTCTTGTAAAGTTAGAGGATAGCACATGGAGTCAGGTACTTACTGGAGTAGTACGGGGACATGACCAGTTCACCTGCATCTTTAGCAATGAATTATCTTGGAATGTCTCAGAGTCACTTTTGAAACAAAAAAAATTCCTCTGGATATCAAAATACCATTCCAGAAATGAAAGAAATTCTCCCTCATGAAGATAGAAATTCAATGATTTCCTTTTCTATTCAGAAAGACATTATCTGTCTGTGAAATAAATGAATATCCATTTAAATGTTATGACATAGCCCATTATTGGTTTAGTTTGGTTCGGCTTGATTTCTCTTATGGCATATCAACCTCAATGATCAAGATTTTTATTGCTGGTGATTATTTTGTTCAAAAATGTATTGCTGGTAATATTTTTTTCCAAAATTGTATGGATGGTATTAAAACCTATTTTTACACTTTCATAGCTTGGAGGTTAACTATTTGCCCATAGCTGGGGCCCTAACAGATGCTACCAACCCGAGCCAGGGTGTACCAGGGAACACCAGCAATTAAGAGGTAGTTCTACACTCCTCAAAACCTCCTGATCATAGGCCTTCCTGTTGGATATAGTTTAGCATCTTACCCAGGACACAGATGTAGTTTATCATCATACCCATGACGGGGTATTATTGTCTTAACAAATAAAAGTTGAACATTAGCTCTCAACAGCTGAACTTTCAAAAATTTGCTTATTTACAATCAATAATGAAATGAAGTTTTTTTATTTTTAATTTGAGAATTTTATATTTAAGTAAACAAACATTTTCTTTGATGAAGGGTTATTATTTATGTACAGATTATTATCCTCATCTTTGTTGTCATTTACATAATGTTTGGGGCCATTATGCTATCCAGACTTCCTCAGATGCTTGTTGATCTAGGTAGTATTCAAAAAATTTCAAACTCATTATTTAGTCCTCAGAGATAGATTGTTCTCAGTCTTCTGACCATGTGTAGTGATACTGAACACTGAATTTCTAGTTCAAGTACAGGGATAGAACTTACAAAATCGGAAATTCAATAGCTCAAAATGAAATAAACAAACCACAAATCCAAACTTAAAAATCCAAGGGTAGAAAGAAATGTCAAAATCATGAATCACAGATCCAATGACAAAAATTCCAATACACTTAAATGGCCAGAAATCCAATACACAATGCAAAAGTCACTCACAAGCCAATGGATGAGGTAGAAAAATAAACTACTTCTCAATTCAAAAATGCCCAACCACTTTTATTGACAGAACAATTTTTTCGTTGGTCGATGGTTGAAGAGGATAAATAATACAGGGTGTCCATAAATTTCGTGTGCACTTTAAAAAATTTATGACTTTATTTGTATTTGCGATAGAAATTATTTGTAAAAAGGATTAGAAAGAAGTAAATCTATATGTTTTAAGGTTTTACTGAAATTTTATTTAAGTTTCCACATGTCCTCCATCATTAGCAATACAAAGAATAATACGATTTTGCAGTTCACGGAAAACATTTGCCAACTGATTTACAGTAATGCCTGAAATCATGTTAGTTATTTTTGCTATACTTAAAACTAGATACATTAAACTTTATCACATTTTTTACAGATTATTTCTATCACAAATACAAATAAAGTTATAAATTTTTTAAAGTGCGCACGAACTTTATGGACACCCTGTATTAGTAAATCTCCAAAATGCATTTACGGCAACACCTGTGACTGACTTGTTTCTATTTTGGTTATTTTGTCTTTGGCATATTGTACAGAACACATGTGGCCTTTTTCATCGGTAAGTGACTTTCTCTTTCACCACAACTATATTCTCAAATTTCCAAACTAATAATTTAATCCCGTAAACTATTGTCATGTAGGACAATTCTGAGTGGAGAACTTGTAGCCTGCCTGTTGATGAGTGCTGCTGCATGTCACGCTCAACTGCACTCTTTGAGGCTTCTCTTTTCTGATGCTGCTGTTGACTTATCTGTCATGGCGTAATAATGAATAATGCATAAAAAAAAAACTTTAAATGTAAGTAATAATTTCAGGAAAGCATAAAAGTCATTTTCTACAAAATGGAAGAAAATGATTTTATATCATTTTCTTCAGGTCTTCTTTACTTTAATGGCATAAGTGTGTTAAATATGCTCGACAGCTATTTCCAGTTTTTCTACTTTTACATTGGTCTGTGGGGTGGCGGCAGGAGCCATGGGAATGTGGACAGCAGACAGTATAGACCAGGAGGCTTCGCATAGAACAATGGTTAACACAATATTTCAAGAGTGCAAAAGTCACTAAAAAGTAATACTGAACATAAACCAGTGGGAAAATGTTTGGAAATAAGGAAGAAATGTATTTCTGTGCTCACCTCAAGAGTCAACTTGCCATCAGGGCAATCTTTCATAAATCCTTTATACCTGAAATAAAAAAACAAAGAAATCATTAGAGAACAACATATAAAATTATATATATGTGTGTGTGTGTGTATTTGGCCAGCAATCCCTTTTTTATACAAGTTTCATAAAAGACGATTGATGTGGTACTGTATTTAAGCTTTTATTCGACTTTTCTTACGTTTATTTATATATATATATATATATATATATATATATATATATATATATATATATATAAAATGTGTGTCTGTGTGAAATACATTTTTCTGTCACCGAAAGTGTCTACTACAAATTCCCCTTTCATTGTAATGAACATTTCTAAATAGAATTTCTTTTTATTTTAAGCATGACAAATAAAACATCTTTATTTTTAAGTTACAGATAAATGGATGCTAATTTTATAATTACATTTTATTTATAAAATACCAAAAAATATATTTATAGAGACATTAGACCAAGATTATATGGATTCTCCTGTCAACAATGACAGGTGAGGATTAAGTAAGTTGTAAGTTTTTATTAAACTACCAGCGCAAGTGAACTGTTTAATGTAGTTAATTGCTTGAGACCTGCAATGCTTGCACATTCTCTCACAGTACTATGTCCTGTACTGGTGTTCTGTGTGCCACATGTCACATAATACTACAATTACAGACTTTTGGGGATAGGAGTTTCCCATCTCTTAGGAGTGGACTGGGCATTGACTTCAATAAGAAACTCATCCGCCCTTTGCCAACCCTTTCCAGGCTTATTTTGATTCAGAGTTTTCCTTCTCCTAGACTAGTCACCAACCAAGTATATTAAGCCCAATCTGTCCACCTATTTACTCATAGCTAGGGATAGAGGGATTCATGCCTTTCCTAAAGTTATTTGCACATAAGTGGATGTAATGAATTTCTCATTTCATTATTCATTACACCATCCATGCATTCAAGGTTACAACTCCTGGTATTCCCAAGTTGTCACCCATCTAGGTACTGACCAGGCTCAACATTGCTTAACTTCAGTGATCAGATTAGAACTGGTTTTTCAACATGACATGGCTATAAACTGTATATATAAATTTATTGCTGGCAATAATTCTTTCTTCAAAAATTCATTGCTGGTAATAATTTTTTACAAAAATATATTGCTGGTACTTAAACCTATTTTTACACTTTCATAGTGTTTTAATCCCATTTTGGGGGTTAACTATTTTCCCATAGCTGGGACCCTAACAGGTGCTACCACTCCGGGCCGGGGTGGACCTGGGAACAGCAGCAATTAAGAGGTGGTTCCACGCTCCTCAGAACCTCCTGCTGTAGGATGCAGTTTATTGTGCATGTGAAATGTCTATCTCAGACACCAAGCAGGTACATCAAAATACCATGTTTCCTACTATATACCATGAATCACTCTGCATTTTATGTCTCAATGGTTCGTTTACTGTTACTAAACTAACATGAAAGCTTTGACATGTGTGTGTTCCCTGAAGACACCAAAATTAAATATATATGATTTTAAGACATATATTATGTTTATACATTCTTTTTATAGATACAAATATTTAAGTAAATGCTTGGTTTATAATAAACAGTATTAACGACATTTACCAGCCTGAATGTCCGAGAAATTTTCATAGAAAATATGTGTCCTCCGACAGGAATCGAACCTGTATGGATATCAAGGACACATGGCACAGTGGATAAAGGCATTAGTTAGATCCAGTGACAGGACCCAAAGAATGTGAGTTCAATACCCGGTTAAGGCAGGACTTTCAGAGGGACATTAACAGGAGATAACTGATAACTGACATCCATTAAACAGGGCACATGGAACTAGAACAGTCTACCCCAGTGAATGAAATAAAGGGTTCAGTTTGACATTCCAACCACCTGAAGAAGGCCGGAGCGTACAACGGCCGAAACATTGTAATAAATATGGCGACATAGATGAGGACAATAGTCCAAATAAAGTAAATAATGTTTCTGGTAATTGTTCTGATGAACTTTCTTCTATGGTAACTAGACTTAAGTGCAATACTAGATTAGGGGTAAGGTCTCATCATTTTAAAGTTGAAATGACAAGCTGTAACTGCAAGTTCTATGCTAACAATTCTTATTTGTGGAACTCTCTTCTGTCTTCTTGCTTCCCAGTCAACTTTGACCTTCAAAAATTTAAATGCAATATCAGTTGTTATCTTCTGTCTTCTTAATTCTTGTTCTTTTATTGTTCTCTCTCCTTAATAGTAGTTTTTTTTTCATATTCTCTAAGACTCAGTAACCTGTTGCATCCTAGAGACTTTATTGCCTTGCTTGGGGTGAAATGATAATAAAAAAGAAAAAAGTATAGAATCAATTGATTATTATTAGCTTTTTTTTTTTTTTACCTAGAAATATCTCATCAAATTATAAGTGTAGGAAATACGGTATTTATATAAAAAAAACCCAAAACAGAATGACTTTTATTGATTTGTCAAATGTCATATCACTT